AACAAAAACCCAAAACAAAACAACAAAAACATAGATCAATTCGTATGAAACACACCTGGGTAAACAGCACAGACTTTACCTGACTTTTCTTTCCAGGGGGGATTTCCCTGGTAGAGGAAATGTCCAAGGATCCCAGACTGTCCCAAAGCCAGCGGGCCCTGCAGGGCTTAGGAGACCTGAAGCTGCTCTTTGACTACCTGACTTTATTTGGAATTGCTGAAAAGGTCGGCAGAGCTGGGATTGGACCTTCTGTTGAACTCTTAGGTTCTCGGATTCCGATCGGGGACTGACTGTAGCTTTTCCCTTACAGATCTCCTTTGATTTAAGTCTGGCCCGGGGCCTAGACTATTACACAGGAGTGATCTATGAAGCGGTGCTCCTGCAGTCTCGGGGTCAGGCTGGAAAGGGGGCGCTGAATGTGGGTAGTGTGGCTGCTGGTGGACGCTATGACGGCCTGGTAGCCCAGTTTGATCCCAAGGGCCATAACGTGCCCTGTGTGGGGTTGAGCATTGGAGTAGAGAGAATCTTCTACCTTGTGGAGCAGAAGATGAAGGTAGGTCCTGGGTAGATGTAAAATGACTTTGAAAGCTAATAACTAGTTTCTGGAGGGGCATTTGGACCTTTTTTTTTTTAATGATCCTTTTGCTTTTTGGAATTGAAAGTACAAAGGAAATATCTATCTTTCTTTTTTTAAAGACTTATTCTATCTTTTTATGTGTACGAGAGTTTAGTCTGAATGTATGTGTATGCCTCGTGCCAATGGAGGTCAGAAGTGGAGGGTCAGAGCTATGGGTGGTTGTGAGCCACCATGTCAGTGCGGAGAACTGAACTTGGATCCTCTGAAAGAACAAGTACTCTAAACTGCTGAGCCTTCTCTCTAGCCCTTCCCTCCCTCTGTACTCCCTCCCCCTCCCTCTTCCTTCGTTCGTTTGTTCCTCTCTTTCTCTCTCTCTCTCTTTTGGTTTTTCGAGACAGGGTTTCCCTGTGTAGTTTTGGAGCCTGTCCTGGATCTCGCTGTGTAGACCAGGCTGGCCTCAAACTCACTAGAGATCTGCCTGCTTCTGCCTCCCGAGTTCTGGGATTAAAGACATGAGCTGCCGCCGCCACCCGGCCACCCCCACTTTCTTAAAAGAGCAGTCTGAAATTGAATTTCTTTCTGAGCTCAATTGGGCCTTGAATTTAGGGTCTTCCTGCCCTAGGCACCGGAGTGCTGGGATTACAGTTGTGAGAGCTACCCTAGGCTGTAGTTTTAGTTTCTTCTCTCTGTTTTATCAGGCTTCTGGTAAGAGGGTTCGAACCACAGAGACCCAAGTGTTTGTGGCCACACCCCAGAAGAACTTTCTCCGAGAGCGTTTGAAGCTAATCGCAGAGCTTTGGGATGCTGGGATCAAGGTATCTGGGTATATGTGGACACGATAATCATGGCTCATTTCTACCGTATGCCTACAGTGGTACTCAGGACATTTTTACCTTACCACTAGAGGGCTAGCTACTTATTTCTGGCTCCCTTGGAAATGTATGTCCTTGGGTACTTATGTGCTACAATCACTTTAAGTCCCATACTCTCTTTTTATCCTTTTCAGGCAGAGATGCTATATAAAAACAATCCCAAACTGTTAACCCAGCTGCATTATTGTGAGAAAACATACATTCCTCTGATGGTTATCATTGGTGAGCAAGAACAGAATGAAGGTGTCGTCAAGCTCCGTACAGTGGCCAGCAGAGAAGAAGTGAGTGAGAGCTTGCAGAAATAGAGTTCTAAATGCGCGCGTACATATATCCCATGCATGTGTGTATATGGCATCTTGTAGGAGTCACTTCTCTCCTTCCACCATATGGGTCCCAGGTGTAAATAGTGAGAATGGATGCAGAATGAAGTGAATTTGGAAAAACTGGCTAAGACATTAGTATCATTTTCTAGTTTGTCACACAAGGATTCTCTTATGTTTTAGGTGACTATTAATCGAGAAAGTCTTGTGGCTGAAATTCAGAAGCGACTATCTGAGTCTTGATTGTTGCCTAATTTCCATCTGCTGTCCTCAGAAGAAAAGTTTTCATCTAGGACTGAATTCTGGTGGATGTTCCAACAGCTGACCAGCATGGATGTTGTCCAAGTGCCTTTTGCCTCCATCCGTCCTGGATACAGAAGTAGACGGGTCCTAAGGACTCATGGATTAGCAGCTACTCTGCTTGAATGCACACTCTAACTGCAAAGGCAGAGCTGAAGGGTCTCTAAATTCTCTCAAGAGATGTTAAGATGGTTCCTGTGAGCAAGGCTCTGGAAGAGTCGCCTCAGGCTAAGACTCTGACCCATTGAAATGAGAAGCTGAATGTACTTCACTTTAACTGTAGCTTGGGAACCAGAGTTCGGAGAATTTGTCTACATCAGACTATGGTTTGTCCATGGAGTATTTGACAGCAAGAATGAACAGTGAACAGAGATGATGTCCCAAGGACCCAGGAGTACATCTGTTGATTCTTCCAGCTAACAGTAGAAGGGTGGGGCTGTTGAATGATTTTGGACATTGAATTTAATGGATGATCAGTCAGTGATCTGATCTTTTGAGATTGTGGAAACCATTCCCTTTGCCACAGTAACTTCTCTTGATGACTCCATATCTTGCTCTGGAGGTTGTTCTAGGATTGACTATATAGTATGCTACATTTCAAAAACGTACTAGTGGGCTGGAGAGACGGCTTATTGGTTAAGGGTGCATATTGCTTTTGCAGAGGACCTGAGTTCAGTTCCTAACACCCACACCAAAGTGATTACAACTACCTGTAATTCCAGTTCTAGGGGATCTGAGGCCCTCTTCTCAGCTCCATAGACATCTGCACTTAATGTGCACATACACACAGACCCATACACATGATTAAGAATAAAATAATTTAAAAAAAGTAAGTGTACTTTGAGTAATTTGTTACCAAAGGATTAATTTGTGTAGACCTCAGATACTGGAGAGCCCTGTGAGCTCCAGGTAACCTTCCTAAGAGATGCTTCTGTGTTCAGTGAAGAGAACTACTAGAATTCCTCCTCTTCTCTCATGTTGCTAAAAAATCAATATTGGGGCAGGTGAGATGGCTCAGCAGGTGAAGACTGACCTGAATTTGATCCCTGGGGCCCACATGGAGAAGAGAACAGATTCTCTTGGGTTGTCCTCTGGCCTCTATACACTTGCTGTGACATGTGAAGCACACATGCAGACTTACATACAAAGTGAAATGTAAAAAACAACCCACCAAAACGCCAACATACAGCCAGGGATATAGCTCTCTCGATAGAATGCCTCTTAGCACTTGGGAGGTGCAAGCAGGAGGTGAGAAGTTCCAAGTCAGCTTTGGGACCAGGCAAGGTGGCACAGGATTTTTAATCCTAGTGCAAGGGAAGTAGAGACAGGCCAATTGTTTGTGAGTTGTTGGCCAGCCATGTCTACCTAGTGAAACCTTGTCTAAAGATAATTAAGTGGTGGTGCATGTCTTTAATCCTAGCACTCGGAGGCAGAGGCAGGCGGATCTCTGTAAGTTTGAGACCAGCCTGGTCTACAGAGCAAGTTTCAGGACAGTCAGGGCTAAACAGAGAAACCCTGTTTTGAAAAAAACAAAACAAAACAAAAAACAACACAAAAACCCAAAACCAATAAATGAATAAAGAAATGCATAAAAATTCAGCCTTAGGTTTACATGAGACCCTTTTTCAAAACAACAACAACAAAACCTCTGCCTGATAGTACACGTTTAATCCCAGTAGTGGAGTGGTGGGGCCAAGGCAGTAGACTCTTTGAGGTCAGCTAAACAAGAGTAAAGATTAAAACAAAAGCAGTACACAGGAAAAGGGAGGATGTTCAGACAAGAGGTTGGACAGATGAAGAGGGAAAGATGCAGGGGAATTTGGGGAAAGCAGCCTCAAAGAGGAAGGTCTTTCTTTATTGGGAACACAGATGGGCAGAGGTTCTGTGACTCCAGTAATACACTGAGAAAACTATATAAAGAGAGTTTCAGGTCAGCCAGGGCCAAAAAGATCTTGTCTAAAAACATACCACACCTACAATCCTAGCACTTGGAAAGTGGAGAAAAGAGGTTCCGGAGTTTAAGTTCATCCTCTCTGCATCATAGCCTGGGGTACGTGAGACTCTGTCTCAAGCATTACCCTTTCCCACAAACTTGACAGAGTGCGGAGTGCTTCATTCTGGGGTGTTGGCAGATGACAGTTTCAAGATTAAACTGTACTGTATAAGTTGAATGAGTTTAAATGGTCTCCAGATATGGAAATGAGTTTAACCAAGGAGTAGTATCATTATTTCAAGGGAAAAGAACCCAAATGTAAAAGTGCTTGTCTTTTGTGCATAAATTAGAGCCACACTCATAGTACATGCTGGTGAATGGGACATCCAGAGCCACTGATACGTGTTTTAGCTTTTAAAACAAGGTTTACTAGGCAGGGTTGTAGCTCAATTGGTAGAGTGCTCAATAGTATGAACGAAGTCCTGAGTTCGAGCTCCAGCGACACATGAATGGGCATCGTGGCACTTGCCTGTAAACCCAGCACTTAGGAAGCGGGGGCAGGAGAATCAGAAGTTCAAGACTAGCCTCCAATACATAGCCAATTAGAGTCCAGTCTGGGCTACCTGGGAACCCGTCTTTAAAAAAAACAAAAAAGTTTAGAAACCCTGAAGATACAGGTAAAGTTGTTTAGATCATGGGGCACTGTTTCCGAACCTCCGATTCTTTGTGAAATAGAAGAGTTGAGCTATTTATTGTTCTTCCAAGACTTGTTTTGAAAGCCAGTGAGAGAAACGTTGGTCGGTGCCCTTACTTCCGTGTTGCTTCACGCGCCCTTTGCGCCTGCGCCGTCTCCTTGGAACAGAGGGCGGGGCCAACAGGACAGCCTAGAATCGCTCCAGTCCTTAACGCAGTTAGAATGCGAAGCTCGAATCTTATTGGAGCGTGATCTTGCCTTATGGCTTCTGGGCGCGTTTTACGGCATTTTACGGCTTTCCATTCACTTCGCTGTGAAGATGGCGTCGGGCAGCGGGGTAGGTGTTGGTGTGAGGAGGTTTGAGGGCTCTGGGGTGGTTTTTCAGAGCTATGTAGAGACAGGCTGTGAGACTTGGCTGACTTCCTGGCTCCTCTTCGCGACCTCAGGGTCCAGGTTCGAGAACTCCCCCGTAAGGCCTTGGCGCAGGGACAGTGGAATCTCGGAAGTCTCTCGGGTTGGGGTCCCGAGTACCCCAGACCCCCGGGCGTATCAGAGAGACTTCTCTTTCGAAAGGTCCTGGGGCCGCCTTGGTGGCAGTTAGGCGGTTCCCTTAGTTTCTTCAGGGGAACAGGCACAACGACGGGTCTTGAGCGCTTTTTCCTCCTACAGACAAAAAACTTGGACTTTCGCCGAAAGTGGGACAAAGATGAATACGAGAAACTCGCGGAGAAGAGACTCACAGAAGAGAGAGAAAAGAAGGATGGTGGGTGCTTGCTTCATGAAGGGCTAAGGGGATGGTAGAGTGGGTCAAGAAGGAATGCCCAGCAACAGGATAGATCGCTTGACAGTGTGTGAGGACAAGCAGGCAAAAACCTAAAGCTTTCTCCTTTCCTTTTACTTTCTCCTTTTCTTTTATGTGAGCTGCCCCCAGGTGTGGCCCATATTCAGGGTGGGATTGCTCATCTTAAATGATCCAGTCTCCCCGCCTCCCCCGCAACAAAAATAAACAAAACAAAACCTGCAGACAAGTGTGCCCAGCTGCTTGAGTTTAGTTGATTTCAGATGTAGTGAAGTTGACAACCAGTATTAGCCATCGCACGGCATGAAAACATTGAACATTATGCTACAGAGTGTGAGTTCCCCTCTTTTGAAAGGTTTGCTTCGAGCAAAAAGTCAGAACTCCTCAGTTCAGCTAGACAACACATAGGAACCGCTGTTTAAGTTTCCTGGCGTTAGAGTTCAGAAAAGCTCTTGAGAGTTGGGTTTGCCATTCCAAGTCTGAGGCCAGCTTGGTCTACATAGTGAGTTCCAGGCTAATTAGAGTAGGTTTTTTTGGCCTCTTTTAACTGCTGCATAAAAGTATCTGTTGTGTCCCTTCCTTGAGGAACCCAAAAAAATGAATGAGAGTAGTCATCTGAATTTGGGGTTCATGCATTTCTTTTCCGTTCTGGCTAAGAAACTGTAATACGGGGCTGGAGAGATGGCTCAGAGGTTAAGAGCACTGACTGCTCTTCCAGAGGTCCTGAGTTCAATTCCCAGCAACCATATAGTGGCTCACAACCACCTATATGAGATCTGGTGCCCTCTTCTGGTGTGCAGACATACATACAAACAGAACACTGTATACATAATAAACAAATCTTTAAAAAAAAAAAAAAAAGAGCTCAGTAAATATGAGCTGTGATCATTATAAAAAAAGAAAAAGAAAAAAGAAACTGTAATACTCACTGTTAATTCCAGCACTCAGGAGGCAGAGACAGGCGGATCTCTGAGTTCGAGGCCAGTCTGGTCTGCAGAGTGAGTTCCAGGACAGTCAGGGCTACACAGAGAAACCCTTTCTTAAAAAATAAAAAGACAGCTGGGCGGTGGTGGCGCACGCCTTTAATCCCAGCACTCGGGAGGCAGAGCCAGGCGGATCTCTGTGAGTTCGAGGCCAGCCTGGGCTACCAAGTGAGTTCCAGGAAAAGGCGCAAAGCTACACAGAGAAACCCTGTCTCGAAAAACCAAAAAAAAAAAAAAATAAATAAAATAAAAAAAAATAAAAAGAGGGCTGGAGAGATGTCTCAGAGGTTAAAAGCACCGACTGCTCTTCCAGAGGTCCTGAGTTCAATTCCCAGCACCAACATGGTGGCTCACAACCATTTGTAATGAGATCTGGCACACTCTTCCGTATACATAATAAGTAAATAAATTTAAAAAATAAAAAAAAAAAGGAAAGAAAGAATGAAAGAAAGAAAGTGCAACACTGAAGGGACCCTCTTTCTCATTCTGTTTCAGGAAAACCAGTGCAGCCCGTCAAGCGGGAGCTTCTTCGGCACAGAGACTACAAGGTGGACTTGGAGTCCAAGCTTGGGAAGACAATCGTCATTACCAAGACAACCCCACAGTCTGAAATGGGAGGGTGAGTAGCCTTTTGTCCTCCAATACCAAGGCTGGCCTAATAAAGTATTTATATTAAAACCAATATAAATGTGGATGTGTTGAGGAGAATCTTAGGCCCGGGATGGCAACCTTATCGACCATAACTCGAGTCTTTGTTTTTCTTTGCCCCCTAAAGTTTGAAGTCAACTCAAGGAGGGGTTGTTCTGTGGGCTGCTGTGTATTACTTCCTTGATATCTTCAAAGAGGTTATATAGTCTGTTAGACCTGAAGGCACTGAGGTGTATTAGGGGAAGCTGTTAACTATAGTTATTGTACACCAAGACTGTGACCCAGAAGAGTTCCAACATTTCTTCAAGTTAGAATTTATATCAGGAGACATGCAGATAGCAGTTAGCCGCATTTCTGTAGATTATTTAGTAAACCCACTGTTTTGATACCTTTGCTGTATAAATTAGCAAGTTAAATAATAATAGCTCATAGCTTCGTGGGCATGGAATTGAGGGGTAGTTACCTTGGAGGTTCTGGATCAGGATCTCCAATGAGGGTGCAGTCATGGAATTGACTAGGTTTGCATTCACTGGGGCTTAAGTAAAGGTAGAAAATCCTCTTCCAGGCTCTCACATGCCTATGGTTTGGAGGCTGAAGTTCGCCGCCTCGTGGGCCTATTTGTAAGGTTGTTCACAATAAAGCATAAAGAGATGAGTTTCCTCAAACCAAGTCATCCTCACAAAGGCAGAAGCCACTCTTTACAATATCTAATCTTGGAAGTGATATACCACCTCTTTTGACACGTTCTGTTCATCACACAGAACATTTTGGCACAGATTGGGAGGACGCTACAAAGGGTGGGAAGACAAGGAGAGTCTGGCTGCCTTGGAGGCTGGAGAGTATCTTGTAAGGCTTTATGAAAATGCCTCCAAAAAGATGCTGGGAGCTAGGTAAAGTAGATCATGCCTGTAATACCTGCATTTGGGAGGATGAAACAGGAGGATTGCTGCAAGTTAAAGCCTACTTGGGCTACAGGGTTAGAGCTTTTCTCCAAAAAAATAAAAAAAGCCAGGCCTGTAGCACACACACCACATCTGTAATTGTATCACTTAAGAAGGGGCAGGACGAGCTCTGCACATCTGAGGCCAGCTCGGTCCACATTGTGAGTCCCAGGCCACTTAAGGTCTCCATTAACAAAACAGATGTCATAGAAGTGTACCAAGAATCAGAGTTTCTTCACTGAAAACAGTAAGATCCTTAAAAACCACATTGACGCATGTGCTGTTTCTTCCCATTTGTCAGCTACTACTGCAATGTCTGTGACTGTGTGGTGAAGGACTCCATCAACTTCCTGGACCACATTAATGGAAAGAAACGTAAGACTTGGAGGTAGTTCATGACTGGAGCTAGGATTGAGTTTTAAAGGTCTGATTGAGGGGGAGTGCAGGAGAGTAGTTTTCTTGGGCTGTGTGTGTGTGTGTGTGTGTGTGTGTGTGTGTGTGTGTGTGTATATATGTATGTATGTGTGCATGTATGTGTGTATGTGTATCACTGAATATGTGACTCCTGTGCAAGAGCACAGAGGCCAAAGGAGGAGGTTAGCTGACCTGGTTGATAATCTGCTTAGTAAATGCAGTTGAAAGCTACCTGCTTTTTATCTGTGGCTGCCACTTCTGAGAGCAGTGAGACCCAAATAAGTCATACTTATTTTTGTTGTGTATTTTATTTTGAAAAGGTTTAAAAAAAAGAAAGCCAGGACCAGACTTTTTGAGGGTCTGAGAATGTTATAATGACTGGTTGCCTTCACTGTTAACCTCACCCAGATCAACGAAACCTGGGTATGTCTATGCGTGTGGAACGCTCCACTCTGGATCAGGTAAAGAAACGTTTTGAGGTCAACAAGAAGAAGATGGAAGAGAAGCAGAAAGATTATGATTTTGAGGAAAGGATGAAGGAACTCAGAGAAGAGGTGAGGCTCTCCTGACCCTGCTTCTCACCTTTGACTTTGTACCTTGTGAATTGGGCATGGCCCTCTTCCTTGGCTCATTCTCTGATCTCCAGTCTTGTGCCTGGGTTTCTGTGTACTAGGACATCCTTGTTTGAGACTCATGAGAATGGCTTAAAACCTAATCCATTTCTCTGTGGCTTTTTGACCAGATCATTTGGCAATTATTCTTTCATTTAGACAGGTTTGTTTTAGACTAATTTTAGGTTCATAACGAAATGAAGAAAGTTCAGAACTTCCCATTGCCATCCTGTCCCCAGTGCATGCACATACAGCTTCCCCTATAATTTTTACTCCTCTTTAAACTGTTAAGAGGGATTAACTAAATACACCTAGTCCCTAGTTGGCCTATGATCCAGGTTATAGGGTGAGAATCCCCTTTTCTTCCATTTGTTTGCATGACTTTTGGGAAAGTTAAATAACCTCAGTGTACCTCATTTTCGGCACTGGAGATCTTAGGATAATATTTACACAGAACCGAGAACAGATCTTAGCATATCCTGCATGCCCCGGGATGTTGTCTGGTTAGAACTAGAGATGAACGAGGGTGTAGAATTAAGAACTTCAGAGATTTAATGAATCTCTTCTTATCCCTTACAATCTGCTTACAGTCTTCCCACTGCCAACCTGGCAGTCAGTCTCAGGGCCTCATGCATGCTGGACAAGTGCTTTATCACTGACCTTTGAATCTTTACCGTGGCTTTTATTCAGGCTTAAAGATGGAAAAGAATCTTGAAGCTCACATATCTCTTTCAGCACTATCAGCGCTGGAGTGACCTGATTCTGAGGGATTTTCTCTCCTTTGCCCTTTAGGAGGAAAAGGCTAAAGCATACAAGAAGGAGAAGCAGAAGGAGAAGAAAAGGAGGGCCGAGGAGGACTTGACATTTGAGGAGGATGGCGAGATGGCGGCTGTGATGGGCTTCTCTGGCTTTGGCTCCGCCAAGAAGAGCTACTGAGGCGTTCTCTTGGGCCTAACTTTGGCCTGTACTGGACCTAACTTTGAGTGTGTGTTGAGGTGGGGTGGGGTGTCATTTCTTTTTTGGGTACTGGAGAAAGTCCTTAAGAGTGTTAATGGGCAGGGGTGGAGGGTGGGTTTTTGTGGTTTCCCTCTACGTTGGGAAGAGGGCACAGGATGTAGAGGTGATGCTGTGGCAGATTCTGTCAGCCACAGTATATTACTGGAGTCACAGAACCTCTGCCCATCTGTGTTCCCAATAAAGAAAGACCTCCCTCTTTGAGGCTGCTTTCCCCAAATTCCCCTGCATCTTTCCCTCTTCATCTGTCCAACCTCTTGTCTGAACATCCTCCCTTTTCCTGTGTTCTGCTTTTGTTTTAATCTTTAATCTTCTTCTGCCTGCAACAGAAGGGTTGTCTGGCATAGCCTTGGCCAGCTCCTCCTCCCATCCTGCCCAGCGGTTCTCTAGCCACCTGTGCATGCCTGTGACTTCTGCCTGGGTCAACGTGTGTGTGGGTATGTGTGCATGATATGTCTGAGCTAGAATCTCAGAGCATTGCTGCCCTGGGGCCTAATGTTCTTGGTTTCCTCGGTGCATGTAACAGGAAATTAAATGGATGAGTGTTTGGTGTGGCTTGTGTCTGGTGAGTTTTTAACCTTGTTTCTTCTGTTTCACTTCACTGAGGATTTCTCTTTTTGTCTTCCTCGGGAACAGGTTCTTGGAAGAACCTGTTTGATGCAAAAAAGAATGAAAACAACAAGACAAAAGAACCCTAAAACCAAACAAACTCTGGGAGACCTTGGTTCTCAGACACTGTTCAACGTGTACAATAAATGACACTGACTGGGCCTGTTTCACATTTGTTGGGAACATTTTCATATCATTCCCTGTCCCGCAAGTTCCTGCTCTAAGGATTTCCATATAGAACCTTTCCCTTTCATTTGAAACTCCCACCCCCCCGCAGTATAGGTTTCCTCAGTGTGAGTTTTCCCCTCTGCTAATAGGATCTGTGCCCTTGAGAGTCTGAACAAAACAGTTTAGCCTCCTGTAATTTTAGCATCCTCTGATCTTAGCAGAAGAGCTCAGGGTTGAACCTGTCTGCAGTTGGGCAGGCACTGGGTTACTCAGTCTTGGCACTGTTGATGAGCTAGGTAAGTCTTTGAGGTTTTTGTTTTGTATTTTTTTTTTTTTTTGGTTTTTCGAGACAGGGTTTCTCTGTGTAGCTTTGCGCCTTTCCTGGAACTCACTTGGTAGTCCAGGCTGGCCTCGAACTCACAGAGATCCGCCTGGCTCTGCCTCCCGAGTGCTGGGATTAAAGGCGTGCGCCACCACCGCCCGGCTGTTTTGTATTTTTGAGACAGAGTCTCACTTGGCTGGCCTTGAACTCAGAGATCTACCTGACTCAGCCTCTTCAGTGCTGGGATTAAAGTTTTGTGCCTCCATGCTTGGCCAGGACTGCACTATAGGATGTTAAGCAGCACCCCTGGCCTCCACTTAGTAGATGTCAGTAGCACTCCTTTCCATCCAATTTTTGACAACTGAAAATATCTTTGTTCCCTGGAAATGGGTAAATGGCTCTCCCATTGGAATGACTAAGAAACTTCCCCACTGTGGTGTAACTTGTGAACTCCAGTACATAGACTGGTCAAAAAATGCACCCCCCCCCCCATGGGCTGGAGAGATGGCTCAGAGGTTAAGAGCACTGACTGCTCATCCAGAGGTCCTGAGTTCAATTCCCAGCAACCATATGGTGGCTCACAACCATCTGTAATAAGATCTGGCACCCTCTTTTGTATACATAATAAATCTTTTTAAAAAATGATTTAAAAAAATGCACCCCCCAAAAAAGCAAAACAAACCAACACTGAGAACTGGATCACATACTGTGCCTTGTGTAGGGGGTTCAAGGGTGAAATGGGGATGAGGGCATAGGGGACAGTCATACAAGTCATGTAAACAGATGAAACTCCTTTTGCTGGCTCTATGCGCTCAATAAAGGGGTCCATTTGAGTTAACAAGACTGCCACAATATGACTCTTTCTCTGACCTATGTAGTTCCTCACTTTTATGTATTATCTGAAACACTGGATCCCACAAAGCCCTGGACCCCACCCTTTGGGTTTGTATGTAAGATTAACTTACTGATAGGTCTGCCTTTTGCTTAATGAGTTCTCATATAGAATTTGGCTATTGGGAATGCTGAATAAATATGTGCATCTATATGTTGGCTTAATGCCTGACTCAGGAATTTAAATGCAGTGTTGAGCATGGTAATGCACACCTGTAACCCCAGTATTTGGAAAGCAGAACAGGATTGCTATAAGATCATGGCCAGTTTGGTTTATATAGCAAGACCTATCAAACGAGTTTGCAGGCCAGTTGCAGGTAAGTTCACGGATGCGTTCGTTGGCAAGATTACTTACACTACCTGTCCTAGAGAAAGTACCCTTGTTGAGTGGATCCTTTTAATTTTTTAAGACTGATAAGGTTTTAGTGAGAGGAGATTCTAACTTTGAGAAGTTACACATTCAACTCAGCAATGATGAGCATTTACTATGGTGCCATTTCCATTGTAATCATGTGTTCTAGCTTTTGTAAACTCTGGGGACAGGTAAATGATGTGGCTAGGTTTTGTTAGGGGAGGATGCTAAGACGGGAGTTAGGAAGGTAGAAACAGGGTGGGGTGGGAATTTAGAACACAATTCCAGATAACTCGGGAATCTCTGAAAGAGAAATTTAATCTGGAAAGCTTGTACTTTAGTTGAATGTACCTACTGTCCTACTTGTGTTCATTTATTCATTGAGTGTTTAGGAGATAAACTTTGAGACAAAATCTTATGATCCCCCTGCTTCGGTCTCCCGTGTATTTAGGGACTGCAGGCACTCATGATCATACCTGGTTAAGTCATTGGTATCTTCTGGAGCAAGGTGTCAAGATCTACAGGTAGGGGATTTACCTTCTGGTGGAATTACTATTTAAAATACCAGGAGCCAGATGTGGTGAAGTATGCATTTAATCTCACGACTCAGGAGGCAGAGGCAGCAGATCTCTGAATTTGAGGCCAGCCTGGTCTACAGATCGAGTTCCAGGCCAGCCAAGGCTACATAGTGAGACTGTCAAACCGAACAGAAACAGGGAATGCAAGGTGGCTCCGTGGCTTCTCAGAGAGGATCTCATGTAGCCTAGGCTGGCCTTGAACTCACTAGGTATCCAAGGATGGCCTTGAATCCTGTTCCTCCTGCCTCTACTTTGCCTAATTGTTGGAATTACAGACATTTGCCACCAAGTTTATCTTTAAAAACACTTGAGGGGCTGGGAATATAGCTCAGTAGGTAAAGTGCTTGCCAAACATGTGCAAAGCCCCAGGTTCAGTCCCTGGGAACTCTTACAACCAGGTGTGTTGGGCACACTGTAATCCAGGAGGGGCAGAAACTCAAGGTCATCCTCAGCTATATAACAAGTTCTAGGCCCTGGTTATATGAAACCCTGTCTACAGAAAAAAATGATTCTTGTGGTATGCATAACCTTCACGAGGCCCTGGGTTTGATTCCCAGCCCTACAAAGACAGAAACTGGTGTGATGGTGCTCTATAATCTCCTACTAGGGAGGCTGATGCAGGAGGATGGCAAGTTTAAGGGCCAACCTGGGTTATAGAGTGAGACTTTGTCTCCAAAACTAAAGTCATACACAAATAGCATTCTTCTGTGTACATCAATAGATACAAAGGAAAGTTTAAAGCCAGTGCTACAAAGGAGATGAGTTATATAACTCGAGAAAACTCTTCAAGACTTAATTTTGTTTTTGTTGAGACAGGATCTTATGTAGCCAATCTCTGCCTTTACTTTCTAAATGCTGTGTCTGAGTTAACTAAATAAAAAGACTACCCATCAAACATTCATAGCAAAACAACAAAAGTCCTACATTGTGTCTGGAATCCACACAAATATTATGGTGGCTAACTGGAGAGACAGGAATTTTGAGGAAAATTAGTTGTTTTCAGTGCACAAAAGGTCCAAGAGTTGACTAGGTATTTGAAATTATAAGACAGAACAAATGCGAATATATATCTGGGAGAGCCGCTTTAAGCCATGAAGTTCCGAGCTACGTCTGAAATAACCTTTTGCACTTTGCAAAGCTTCCATTTCCTTGGGTGGGTGAGACAGTGACTGAAAAAGCTTACGGTAACACAGGGACGAGGATGGTAGTTGTACGATTGCAAAGCGACCTGGACAAAGCGAGGAGCGCTATACTTGGTGAGCGCGGGAGTCCGCGCAGGCGCTCTGGGCACCCGGTTAGAACACGCCTAGTGGCCGGAACAGGATCCGATTGGTCAGTCTCGCACGCCCTGTCACCGCACAACTTTCAGCGTCTGGATGACGTATGTTTCTCTCACAGTCATGTAGAAAAATCGCGGAAGGGACCGCCGGACTGGCTTTAGCTCAGCGGTTACTTCGACGATGCTTCAGTTCGCTACTTTGCCACTCGTGGTGGAGTTCGAGCACCATCAACCAACCGCTTGCAAAACCAGTGAGTGGTTGGTTCGGGGCCCGCGGGCGCTCTCCAGTCCTTTTGCTGCTACGAACCCTCGGCTACTTTTCCACGTTGAAAATAACTAAAACTTCTTGGATAAATTGCGATTTCAAATACTGAGATCCTTGGCACGTCTTACGTACCTCCAGAAAATAGTGGAAGGTCTAACAACAATAACAGGACTTAATTTAAAAAATTAGACTACTTAGTAATATTTTGGTTCCAATAGTTAGGTATACTTGTATTTTTTATAGTGTCATTTTTTTCCCCCTTTGAAATCTGGAGGGTTTTTTCATTTAATTTAAAACATTTAAGAAGATTTTATTTTTATTTATGTCTATGTGATTGTGTGAATGTATATGTGGGGCGTCTTGGGTGCTGGAAACCGAACCCAGTTTCTCTTAACCGCTGAACCATCTCTCCAGCCTCTTTTAAGTATACTCTTTTAACTATCTTTCTAAGATACTCATAATTTGCCATTCCAGGTGAGTTCTTGTAACACCTTTTCAATGTGCAGATACAAATTTTATTCCAGAAAGTTTTCCGATGTTAACACTTTGAATGTATTCTATTATTTTCTTCTTTGGGAGCCGTATCTATCTTGTTCTCCAAGGACCCACTTTCTTGATTTTACTTTTTTTTTTTTTTTTTTTTTTACTTAATATTAATAGTTATATTTAAATTAAAATTTCTCTTAGGACATCTAACATTTAATTTTGTTCCTTTTTTTTCTGAATTGATATATTTTCTTCAACGTCTTGTGACTTCAGCCAACTCTGTTCTTGTTCTTTAAGTTTTTTTTTTTTTGTCAATTTCTGAGTTATAATTCTGGTTAAATAGTTTTTTTTTTCTCTTTCATTGGAGTGTTGCTCTCCAGTTTTCATATTTCATGGTTAGTTTTTAAAAGAAGATCATTAATTTTAATTTTTAATTTTTTTCATGAAACGCGATGCCTGCTATGTTCTGTGCGTTTTGAATGTTTTGTTTTCCCGTTTCAGCAATTTCCAATGAGAGTAATCAGATTTCTGAGTTCAAGAGTGCCCTCTCGTGTCCGTAAAGCAGAATGCACCTGTTTGGTTAGATCGAGGTCTGATTCTAGGATTTATTCTTTTTCGTGACTGCGGGACTGTTTTTTTCTGTATACTTCCTTCTCTCAAAATCAAGCTCTCACGATGTACATACTTTCACATCATCTCTTTCCCCAGGAGGGGATTGCTTCTCAGACTGCTGTTCCTCGTTTCAAGCTTTTTCAGGACATTCTTAGCTTTCTCAGTTCTTTTCGTATGCAGCTCTATGTACTGGCATAATTTCTCCATTGCAGTTTTT